CTCTCCCTCTCCCTCTCCCTTTCTCTCTGAAATCAATAAAAATATTCTTTTAAATGACAAAGAATAAAACCAAAAAGATCCATAAACATATCTGACTGTCTTAAAGCACTCTTCAGTAGTAGTCAGCTATAGGAGAAAAATATGACACTGTGTTTTCCCTTTGGATAGGAAGTTAATATTTTCTGGAAATAATTGATAAAGAGACTCTTTACTGGTACTGCCTCTACCACATGTATAAGAAAATGAGACATAATTCTTAACATTTCAAAAATCCTCTAATATATAGGTAGCAAGTTACGGTTTTATTTTTTTTTTAATTTAAATTCTTTATTGTTTAAAGTATTACATGAGTCTCCTTTTTCTCCCCGGCCGCTCCCATCCCCAAGCACATGCCCTCACCCTCCTACTGTCTGAGTCCATTGGTTAGGCTCATATGCATGCCCATAAGTCCTTTGGTTGATCTCCTCATAGGTTGGACAGTCTGTTCGATGCTTCTATGTCTCTGGTTCTATTTTTGTTCATTGGTTTATGTTGTTCATTATAGCAAGTTACTGATTTTAAATGTGAGTTTGGGCCAAGTAAACAATGAATATTAGTAGTTGGGAAGTAATAACCTATGACATATTTGCTTATTTTGTTTTTAAGGAAAATTTTAGACTTACAGCTGTATGCCACTGATGATTGTTCCAAATAAGCCCAGCATTCCTAGAAACTCCTGCCTGCTCAGCTTCTTCACAATGTACTCTTCACACACATTAGAAATGGCATAGAGGGAAGCCCCAACAAGGACGAAGATGTCACCAATCAGTACATCACTGCCTACAGAAAGACAAGCCACAAAAAGGAACAATTATCAATAGGAAAACCTCTTTAGCTTGCTCCTAGGAGTTTATGTGGCTAGTGTTCACTTAAGATTAAGATTTTAAGGAAGGAGAAACCCTGATTTCTAGATGTTTAAAGACTATTGATCTTCTTACTTTCTGGCACAATTCTGCTGCAATTTTTCATATTGTGACTTCTCAAGAGACTAACAGACTGGAAGACAGTGGTATATGCCTTAATGTAAGGTCTCAGAAAATCATTCTATGACATGAGAAATTAATGGAATCTATTGAAGGGAATTAATTTAAAAGGATAAGGAAGGAAGGTAGGTAAACAAGGTCATTTCTCTCTTAATGGAGACATTGAAGTCACTTGTAGGTTGGGTGAACTCATAGACCTTATTGAGATTTACACCATCAATTGTCTGAACCTTGACCCAAAGAATATCACAGTATTTTCATCAACAGAGTAGACACAAAGTCTCTATTTGATTTAAAAAAAAAAAAAAAAGAATCTACAGTATATTTCTAATAACTAATCCAAATGTATGGACCAAAAGAAGATTGCAAATATATAAAGAAATTTATTTCATGAAATGAAATGAAACAAAACCAGTGTGACAAAAAGGAACAAGAACTGTGGGCAGGTGGGAGCATAAAGGGTGCTTTGTGGAAATGGGCACTGTACCAGAAGCAAGTAAATCTGAAAATAAAATTGAAAAGATAGTTAACCAGAGCATGTTTCCTGCATTGTACTGTGTGTTTAAAAAATAAAAGTGAAAACATAAGCAAAACTTTTCTCTGGGGCTGAACCAGAAAGAAGTCACAGTCTTACCTGAATTGTCGCTCCTCTTTGCTAATATGTCTGCACCAACCATAGTTCCTACGCCCAGCAGACAGATAGCCACGGCAACGAAATGGATCACTCTGTATCTTGCATAAAGGATGAACCAGGAGAGAGCCATCAACACGGGAATTCCAAAGCAATCCAAAAGCTGCATGGAAGGAGAAACAGACAGCTTAAAACACCTCTCATTAGCTAAAGGGTAGGTGATTAAGTAATAATAAAAGTTAGCAATTATGCTCGGCTAGCATGGCTCAGTGGTTGAGTATTGACTACGAACCAGGAGATCACGGTTTGATTCCCGGTCAGGGCACATACCCGGGTTGCAGGTTCGATCCCCAGTGTGGGGAATGCAGGAGGCAGTCGATCGATGATTCTCTCTCATCATTGATGTTTCTGTCTCTCTCTCCCTCTCCCTTCCTCTCTGAAATCAATAAAAATGTATTTACCAAAAAAAAGAAAGAAGGAAAGAAAATACAATATATAGTGCCCTTTGAGTTCTGTCTGCCATAATACCATTTAAGAATAATAATAATAATCTACACTAATAAAAGAAAAAGACACTAATTGACTGTACCTTTACTATGCCCAAGCCACGCCTACCAGCCAATCAGAGCAACTATATGCAAATTAACCCAACCAAGATGGCGGCCAGCAGCCACGAGCTGGAGCAAGCAGGAGGCTTGGTTGCCCCTGAGATGGAGGAAGCCAAACTTCCCACCTGCTCTGGCTGGCTGTGGCCTCTGCAAAAGGCAACAAAGTTTCAATTATAGAAGCTAAATAAATCCCAGATACCTGCTTCCAGCCAGCCTCCAC